TCACAAATAAAAAAGTAAACCCCCCCAATGTTTAAGTCCCCCCCCTTCGTTTACGCACATATAAACGTAAATATGCGTTGCATGCGCCAGCGCGCAAAAATGACAATTGCGCTACACGTTACATATTGAAGCGAACGTCGCAGTGAAAGCAATCATCTTAGGGCTATCAATCACTGATAACACTAAACTGATGAGCGGTAAAAGCTTTTAATGCGTCGCCTATGGCCAATTTTGGGGAATGTAGTTTTTTGGGGTTTCGCGCGCGTGCGCAATTTTAAGGCTTGACATGTTTGGTGTCTCTTTACCCGACGTGACCCCGTCTTTTATATTTTACCAAAAAATTGGGTAATAATAAATGTTTTAGAATTTATTATAGGGGAAACTGTTTTTTTTTAAATTTTCTGTAATGTTTCCTTAATATATTCAAAAATAAAAACCCGGTGGTGAATAAATACCACCAAAATAAAGCTCTATGTGTCCCCAAAAAAGGGTATAAAATTCATTTCAGTACAGCGCTGCATGGCGGAATAAATGTCAGTCAAAGTACCACAGCGCTGAATACTGAAAAATGGCCTGGATGGGAAGGGGGTTTAACACCCCGGATGTCAACTGGTTAAACTGCCTGTGAAGTGGCGCTCTGTACGATGTATAGAATCTGCTGCAGCAAAAATTACATTTAAATTGCTGGTAATTGATTTTCCCTTAATCTTGTGTTTCATTTATGTTTATTAATTTTCAACACATAACTTTCCATTTCATTTTCATATACATTTATACACTTATTCACTTATTCACTTGTACAACCTACAACATTTAACATAACTATTCAATATTACATTACTGTTTTATTAATTGCAATACCTTTAACGCCCCCCCCCCCCCCCAAAAAAAAAAGAAGGGGGGAGGGAAGGGAAAATGGAATAGGGGATAAAGGGAGAGTGCGTGATTATATTAGGGAATGGGATCTTCCCCTTTCTACATTAGTGTTCCAGTTATATTTCTTAATATTGTTGCACAAGCTGGAAGTCTTCCCTTAATCTTGTAAACAACTGCTGGGGGAGACAACTGCCTGTATGAAGAGGCCACATTTTAGGACACTCGGAACAAGGTTAGAGATGTTTTGGATAAATTAGTGTTGGCGGTGCCTTCACACCATAACCCTTCAGTTATTCTTGACGAGTGCAGAATTTGACCCTGCTCTAAAAATTCTAATTATATATACCTGTCACACAGGTGTGGAAAAAATGGGACCTTGGTATTGGTGCCTCCACACTGCAACCCCTCACAGTTACTCTTGATGAGCGCAGGAATAGGCACTGCTGTAAAAAAATAAAATGATATGCACCTGTCACACACCTGTCTCTTTGTTGGCCTTTCAGACATGATGCAGGGATTCTCATAACATTTTATTAGAGAATGTGGGATGGAAAATTGGTGCTTGGGGGTAATACTTTATTGCATGTTGTGCTTGGTGCACTATAAACTGTTGTACAATGGCCTATTACAAAAAAAACGGGAACACTTGCGGTGCAGAAGGGGAACACTTGCGGTGCAGAAGGGGAACACCTGCGACACAGAAGGGGGAACAGCAATGATGCAGCAAAAGAACCTGCTTCTGAAAAAAAAAATGGTGATGCAGAAGGAGGAACACCAGCGACTCACACAAAACCCCCCAAAAAAGAGAATATACAGCACAGAAAATAATTCTATATACTTTACAGAGTACTGTATATAGCACTAACATGCTGTATAAAGCACTGACACCAGTTAGCTTACACTACACCTAAATATCATTAACAACAGCAACACACTATAGGGCTATGGTGTAAGCAGCCTTATATAGTGTGGGGCTGCGACTTAGCTGTGAGCCATGATTGGGCAAAGTCATCATTACTTTGCCCAATCATGGCGCTTACAGTGCACTGTGCCGTGATTGGGCAAAGTCTTGCATCTGCCTGTGGTTAGGTGCATTGCTTTACTCAATCAGGGCTTTCACAAGACACTGTAGAGTGCCCAGCGCCTTGTGGGGTGCTCGGCGGGCGAACAGCACACCGAACGCCTTGATAGTTTGTGTGTTCGCCGAACACACAAACTAGCGATGTTCGAGTCGAAGTGTTTTTCAACTCGAACATCAAGCCCAACCCTCAGTCTGATTTTGTCAGTTGGTAGAACTGGATGATGATTTGGATGTCTAATGCTAGGCATACACTAGTAGATTTTTTTCTGTTCAGCTTTTGGGCTTAAAGGAAAATACTAACAGCAATGATAGAACAATCTCGAAGGAAGTGGATACTGGCTGAGAATGAACTCTCAGCTGGTTATATCTCAGTCTACTATAACCTCTAGATAAGAGTACCTTGCTCCATGAGTATCATACATTTGTGCCAATCGGGGGTAAAAAGAAAAAATATGATGCTCGGATCACGAGAAAACATTTGGCTTTGATCATACAGTGCATAGCTTTATGAAACGATGGTTACTCTGTCACTGTTAATTTTTTGTTTTAGGCTAGGTCTCCTCACATTTCTCAAAGGGTTATTGTCATGCATTTCTAGCATCTCCAAAGTGCTCTCTCCAACCAGCTCTCTTCAATTTTGTCATCGGGGCCAAAAGGCTCAGTAAAAATGTTGGCAGTGGTTGAGTTGTGCAGTATATGCAGTGTTTATGCTGTATCACCCCGATGACCTACTCTTAATTAAGGGGAAGCAGAGCACTTAGTAAGCCTGGATAATGAACCCTCTGCATCTGCAGCTGTATCCAACATCCATGAAGACCTAGCCTTAAGGGCATATTTATAATGTAGTGAATGTGAAATTCACCAAACATGTACTGGACATAAATCAATCACTGTTGTTCAAAACACATGTGCCAAGAAGGTTCACCAGCACTGAATGAATTGGTTAATATTACATTTACTGCTTTATAACTATGCCCCTTAGTGTGATTTCAGTTGCAAACAAAACGCACATCCTAGAATCTTTATTAATGTAATTACCTGATCTTCATTGCAGACCCAACTAAAACCAGAAAGGTGAAGACCATTATTGAGGAAGTGGTTGATGGAAAAGTTGTGTCCTCAACAGTTCAGGAGATTGAAGAAAATATGAACTAAAAAAGAAAAGCCAAGGTGAAAGGAAAACACATTAGAATTGGCAACAATAGGTGGTGCTGGCTTGCGGTGGAGGTCTTAAGCAATATTACTGCTCTATGTGAACGGGACATGGAGTTTTTTATTTTTTTATTCAATAAAGCCTTTCATGCTTCCTGAATGACTAGGTATGTCTTTTCTGCTAAGAGTACATAAGTGAAACATCTATACTGTATAATCTGTATAATTAATAATACTTTAGTCAATTGGGTTTCTTTTCATGTAAATGTGTGCTTGCCTGGCTGAAGACATTTAAAGAAACAGATACTTTTTCAACTTACTGCTTGGAAAAGTTTACCTGCAGGTAGGACAGGGCGCTGAAGATCAGCCAACACATTTAAATGCAGGGTTAGGTAATAACAGTGCAGTCAGAACATGAGTTCACCATACTCAGTGGCCAAGAGAGTGTGGATGGGTAGAGGCTCGAAAGATGCAACATGTATGTTTACTTTTTTATGTCCAGGAGTATTCAAAACCTTAAAGATGAGATCAAATTTTGATCAACAAGTTAGATGAAGGGTAAATTAACAGGGTTATGTAAATGGCAATCCTACCCCTAGCTGCGTACTAACCTGCCGCTCAGTTTGCCTATTTAAGCAAAGAAAAGAACATGATTTTGATGTACAAAATGTTTAGTGTTGATGGCAACATGAGCAACAAACTTTTTACAGTAAACTCCATAACAAAGACTAGAGGCCAACACCGAAAACTAGTGGAGAAAAGATTTAACCACAAGGGGCATAGGGGCTTTTTTTTCAGTTAGAGCAGTCAAAGTCTGAAACCTGCTGCCACCAGAAGTGGTATCAGCTGAGAGTATTGAATCATTCAAGCAGCATTTAGATACCTTCCTCAGAGTCCGTAACATACAGGGGTACATGTACTCTTAAAACAAGGTCACACAGGGACTTGTATACACACATACACAATCACACACAGACACACAAAGGTTGAATGTGATGGACCTGTGTCTTTATTCAACCTCAAATACTAGGTAACTATGTAAGAAGCCCTAGATCCCTAGAGCCCAAGAAGTTGCTTTGGACATAAGACTCTCTCTCTCCACCCTTACATACTTGTGCTGGTGCATGACAATTGGCTGCTAAACAAATGTCACAGGTACCATTGAAAAGTCAAGGACACCTCAGGGAAGCACAAGACTACCTAGACTGTAATTCGCACAGGAACACAAGGATTGGACAGTCGAGCATTGGAAAAAAGTAAAATTCCACAACTGTCACAGACCTACCCGGATCAGAGCTCCGGGTTTGAGGCGTGCCGTCCGTCCATGACGTCACGGTTGACTCCTCCCCTTGGCTGCAGCTCCTCCTCAAAAACACAGCTGAGCCACTCACTCGGCGTTCTATCGTTCTGGAACGTCGAGCGAGTGGCTCTGAGGACAGAGCAAGAGACAGTGTGTTACAGGCTGAACTGGAGAGTGAGACTCATTGCTGCACACCAGGACCTGCCATTGGACCAACACTGAGGTTGCATCGATCACCCCACGTACCATCCACATTGCCTCATACCTTCAAGCAAACCGCAAGTAACTGGCAAACTTCCCACCTGTTATTTCCACTCAAATACCTGGTTGTGCTGTATTAGGAACTCAGGCTTGGCTTAACAAGTAATCAACCACCTGTTGAAACTACTTCACTTTTACTTATGCTGAACTGTTGAACTGTGATCAGAGATAACCATTGACAACTCATCTGTTTGTTGCACCCCCAAACATAACCGCATTGCTCACTTGATGAACTGAGATTAGCAAGATACCAACTGCTCATAGCAGTCCGCCATCATATGCGGATCTGCTCCAACCTATTTGTTGCCACTTCCTCATCCTCCCACCTGTTACATCCACTTCCATTTACATCTTCGGTGCTCTCTTGACTACTGAGTCAGTAGCAAAACTGTTGTCCTAGGAGTCCGCCAGCATATGTGGATCTACTCCAACCTATTGCCTGCCACTTCCTCAAACTTACTTTCTTAGTACAACCGTTATTAGCGTAGTGTATTACATCAAACCAACACACATAGGTCGGGGTACATGATGTTAAGCGGTTCCCCTTGGTACTGAGTGCATTGGGGTCCGCCAAACTGAACCAAAACCTCAATCCTATTTATCAATCTCCGCAGCTGAGATCCATACTAACCCAAACCTTGCTAGACTGTGACAGTAACCATCAAATCTCACAGAACTGGACAGTGCTATTCATCAGACATGGTGTCAGATTCCTCGCATCACCTTTCAACATCTCGTGGAGTCAATGCCAAGAAGAATCGCCGCAGTATTGAAGGCAAAAGGTGGCCCAACGAAGTACTGATGGGGTGGTCATAATAATCTGCCCACTCAGTGTATAAATCCTGATGGGGTGGTCATAATAATCTGGCCACTCAGTGTATAAATCCTGATGGGGTGGTCATAATAATCTGGCCACTCAGTGTATAAATCCTGTATAATAATAATAATAATAATAATAATAATAGACTGCAGAATGGGTCATTTCAATTCAGTCTGCAAAACCCAATAATACATATCATCAGTTACATTTGCCAAGACCAAAGGCAAGATAAACTATCTCCATCCATTCCAATCACTACCTACAGACCACAATGCACTTCTACAACAAGAAAAAAAACATCAAGTATGACATTAATTATAGAGGTCTACATATCTGTCCAAAACGAGCGACACCTGAAGAGGGACATAGAGATTTGGTTGCAAAAGAGGGGCAGTACCTCCAAATGAGAGACAGTTAGTAGGAGGTATGTTGTCATTCTAAATTACATTGTTGCTTATTTTACTAGCTGTAGCAAGGTGTTACGGACAACACATAGTAACCTGACCTTCATAAACGGGGGGTAATTATTTAGCATAGCATTAGACTAAAGTTAAACAATATTTATTTGATCGAAACTGACCAAAACAATGCATGTGAATTAACTAGTCAGCAGATAGTAAAGTTAATCAGAGAATGTTTGTGAAACTATAGCATAGTCTTCCTATCTTATGAGACCATTTTGAGACATTTCAGTGGACATTGCCATTGATATGATGTTATAACCTCAATAAAGGCATTTTATTTCGATATCCTCGGTGTGCTGGTGGTCTTCTAGACTCCAGGATATCCCAGATCACATCAGCACCCATTTTACATGGACAGGTCAGGAGTGAATTATTCCAGGAAATGGAGCACATCTTGAGGAGTGGGCAACTCTTTGGATATGGGGCCTCACTCGTCTTTGACAGATAAAATCACAAATGTAGTTTAAGAAATAATATGACATACCAGAGTAATTCAAACAAAGTAGTAGCCAAAACCTAAGTAGAAATGCCTGTTTCCTGTCAGCATGTTGCAGAGAAGGAACCTTGCTCTCTGTGTAGAAGTCAGTGATTTTAGGCGTATCCACAAGTTTATGATACACTACGGTGAGGTTCTTTCTGATGTATATTGGCTATAGATCAGGGGTGGCAAACTCAAATTCATCGGGGGCCGCATCAGCAGTATGGTTACCCTCAAAGGGCCGGTTGTATAGGACTATGCATCTACTCTTTATTATCATAAATATTTACGTTTATTTAACGTTTATTCGCGTGGGGCTGGTTTTATTTTTTTCTGTTTTTATTTACTTTGTAAAAAATGTTCATTTGTTTTTTTATTTTACTTAATCGCCTTTTTATTTTTTAAATTTTTATTTAGTTGCATTTTTAATTAATATATCATCAATCATTTCCAGCCCAGTGCCAAGTGTTGCATTTGGCTGACAGTAGACTGATAAGAGGTAGACAATACACACTACATTTACACTGGTTTGTGTATGTGAAAGTCAGATTAAAAAAAATCTTCCCAGTATTATATTGTTCCCACGCAAACACCAAAGAACCCCTAAGGGCACCTTTACACATAGTTGTAGTTAACAAGGCAGATGACCGATTAGAAGTTATGTGACTCGGCAGGTGATAATGTACTCATTTGAAAAATGTACTTTCCATTTTAAATAACTTTACGTTCTGTCACAGTCACACACAGTTTTATGGCACTCTTGTACCTTTTTATATATAGCTTTTTGTATACATAACTGTAGTATTAAGAAAGTTCAAACAAAATAAATACCTTATTCTTTGTAAAAACAGAGGCAAATATAAAGCTGTGACCCATAACACATTTCAAATTAAACAAAGAAATTAATGAGCTATCATGAGTACTATACACTGAGTGGCCAGATTATTATGACCACCTGACGTTTGTAGGCAAATTAGCTATAATTAGCTATAATTTTGCGCTGAAGTTGCTAGAGGGCCAGACCATTATAAATAGGGAAGCAGGCTGTTTACCACGGCAGTAGAAGTGATTTTTTCTGAAGATATGGGTAAACAACGCGATTTAACAGCCTTTGAACGTGGGATGATTGCTGGCGCTCGGAGCCATGGAGCGAGTATCAGCAAAACAACAGAATTCGTTAAATGCTCAAGAGCAGCTGTTGTTAAAGTGTTTACAGACTGGACTGTCAGCCGAAAATCTGGGTCTGAACGTGCGAATTGTGGCCGTCAGTGACTAGTCAATGTTAAGGCAGAACGGAGAGTGGCAAGACTGGTACAAGACAACAGAAGGGCAACAGTGCAGTGTCAGATTCCTCGCATCAACTTTCAACATCTCGTGGAGTCATCTCGTGGCCCAACGAAGTACTGATGGGGTGGTCATAATAATCTGGCCACTCAGTGTATCTTTGCTGCAGTTTTCATAAACTAACAGCTACCACTGAACTCCTGCCGTGAAATGACAGGTCCGGCCATAATGTAAACAAAAGGGCAGAGCGATTTTACAAACAGATGGGTGGAGCGTATGACAGTGAGCTGTCATGACATGAAAACAAATGGGCGTATCGGGTCTTGATGTTCAGCTCGAGTGTTTACTTCGGCTGCTGTACGTGCTATTGAGAATGGGTTTCTGCAGCTGAAGCGAGCCATAGGATTAGCCGAGCGTTCAGCTAAATCCTTCGGCAGATTAGTGAATAACCCCCCTAAATAGAGAAAATTCTGTTCTGTTTTCTGGAAACCGTTATGCTCTGCCCTGGAAAGGTGTTATTTCAAATAGCTGAAAATTGCAAATTGCATGTTAAGGTTCATTATTCAACAAGTATCCTAGACTGGTCTCCTTATTCCTTTTGGACGATAAGGTGTTGCCAATACCTGGGGATCAGAGACATTAAAACCAGTTGGGCATGGGGTGATGGCTTAGTGGAGGAGACCTGCTTGGCATTGTTAAGGAAGATTCCCCTGTGGTGTCATGCGCCCTCCAACCATATAACATGGGCCTCCAGTGTACGACAGGACTTCCGTACTAGGCCTGGAACCACTGTATATGTAATATACATATTACACAGGAAACCACTCAATGAAATACTTATGAAGGGCCCCTTTGTACAGTATATAGTGGTTCCAGGCCTAGTACACAAGTCCTGTCCAACACCGGAGGCCTATATTATATGGTTGCAGGGCACATGACACTACAGGGGAATTTTCCTTAATGCCACCATGCAGGCTGACCCTTCTCTACTAGGCCACCACCCTATGCCCAATCAGAAGTGGTTTTAATGTCTCTGTTCGCCAATCTCTAGGTATTTGCAACACCTTAACTTCCAAAAGGAAGGCCAGTCCAGAATACTTGTTGTAAA